GTCTCTTTTAATCTACAGATAACGTGAAGTTTAGCATTCATTTGTTCATTCCATAGGTGGAGTCACTCAAACTGGTAGGTACCTGAGAGACAGGGAAGGAGCCCCGCCCTCCATTGATTCTATGCTGATTATTAGACGTCAGGGCCCCGCCTTAGAGATTTCCTTGGGACTAGGGCAGCTCCCTAAGGAGCCCTCATGACACTGTATATTTCTCAGAAAAATATTGGAACTGAAGGCTGTCAGCTTGGGTAGAGTGAGTCTGTTCTGGAGCCAAGCCAGACTCAGCTGGGAAGGAACCCAGGCGGCTCCTCTCCTCCTGTGTTTGGAAAGCGTATGTTCCCCAGTGAGCAAAAAAGAACTGGAATCCTGCTCACTTTTTTCCCCACTTGGTTATTTTTTTCCCTTAAACCTGACACCAGCAGGAAGAACATTCAGAAACCACAGGCACAATAGGTCTAGGATTTATCACTTTTTTTTTCTATCAAATGGTGACGTTTTTAAAAGTGGAATTCACGTGTTATAAACACTCGGTGGAGTGACCGAGTCTAACAAATTTGCACAGAAACTACCAACACCACAGCACTGTACTGTGATTTTAAAGCTCCACAGCCATGAGATGGCTCTCCTCTCCATCCCTGAACTACCTGTCAGATTCATCCATAAGGCACACAGTGGAGGCAGGGATCTGGTTTTGAGTTCCTTGGCCTCTCATTTCTGACTCTTACCTCCCATCTGTTACAGCTTGGCCATGACACCGAGGGGATGGTGGGCGGGGAGAGTGAGGTTTCATTCTGGACTCATCTCTTGCCAAATCTACTCACATTTTCCTTTCTTTCCTCAAATCGGCACTTTTCTTCCCTCCTAAGTTACAGGCTTACCTCAGGCTCTGGTCATTTCTCAAAGCCTTCCCAGCTCTGGAATTCCCACCTCAGCAGCACCCTCCCCCCACCCATGCCATGACCCTTCACAGCCATCCCCCTTTCTCTTTGCCTGGAGAACGAGGGTGGCCTTGCTCTCCATACCCTCTCCTTCTTAGGGAGTCCCTGGCCCTTCCTGGGGTGGTCTGGGGGGCTGACTGATCATCATGGCCTGAGCTCACCAGGGTGGGGGCAGTGAGCTTCCGAGGAAGAAGAGGCCACCTTCTTTCCCTCCAAACTGGCAATTCAGACAAACCTCAGAGGGGAAAGCGTGTGGTGGCCGTGCTGGCCCTCTGCTTGGAGCAGTAGGTGAGTCTTGGGACACTTAGGGTAGATAGTAAGAGCTGTCATTTATCCAGTGCCTACCCAATGGCAGGCACAGTGCTGAAGGCTTTGCATGGATCCCTTCACATAATCCTCACCGTAATTTTATGAGATAGCTTCTATTCTCATCCTCATTTTACAGATGAAGAAAGGCACGGGGACGTTGACTAACCCGCCTATCCATGGTGATGATCTCCAGTCCACTCTTAACTCCTAACCCATGTCTTCTGCTTTGCCATTGATCCAGTCCCCCCACTCAGGCACCTGAGCCTTTTCAAAGCTGCACTTTCTATAGTTGGCAGTCTTCCTACAACTACATCTTCGAACCCAAGTGTCTGTAGCTGTCTCTTAAGCCTTTAATAGGATTGACGCGGGGTGCCTGGACAGCAGAGTTGGTTAGGCCCCTGACTCTTGGTTTCAGCTCAGGTTGTGATCTCGGGGTCCTGTGATCAAGCCCCGCCCCTGTCGGGTGTCAGCCTCCGTGCCCAGCACACAGAGCCTGCTTAAGTTTCTCTCTCCCTCTCCCTCTGCCCCTCCCTGCCACGTGCTCTCTCTCTAAAACAAATAAATCATTAAAAAATTTTGACTCAAGCTCTTGAATAAGAAACCATTGTAAATGGGTGTTTAATACAGGTCTTGTAGTGGAAATCAATAGGAATCTTAAACAGCTTTCTTCTAGAAAGGCTCAACAGAGTCAATAAATGAATGCTGAGTACTCAGGACTGGATTCAAAATGCACGTGTTAAAAAAAAAAAATGCACGTGTAAAGAGACAGGTGCCCCATCTATTGTAGTCTATCCTGCAATGAATGTTGGTTGAATGAATGAGAGCGAGTACTAAAAGCCTCTATAGTACTGGAGGAAGAAATGAAAATACTTTGGATGGCCACCAGGGGGTTGAAAAGGTCTAGACTTAAAATTATTAAAGGGCAAGAAAATGTCCTCATTTTCCCCCCCTTAACTTGAAATAAAGTAGAGCAAACACGGGCTGGGCCTTCTCATTCTAAATATGGGCCTGTAATATAAAGGACGCTTCAGAGGATGCCAAAAAGCATAAAATATCAAGGAATGCCCTTTACAGGCACTTCGGAATTTCTAACAGAGCTAAAAATCGGTGAAATCCAGATGGGAGAAAGTAAGAAAAGAGGAGTTGGGATAGTTTGTTAAAACGCAGATTGCTGAGCCTCATTCCCCGAGTTTCTGATTCTTTAAGTGTTATTAGTTGTATAACATATACCTCTAAGGAAATACATCAAATAATGTCTAGTGTGATGTCAAGTACACCTGAGTACTTAATGTTATTTCGCTTTGATGATGATACATCTGAAAAATTCTAATACAGACCTAGTGTCTCCTAGTTCCTAATACTTAACCTTTTTTTTTTTAGACTGAGGGCAGGCAGATGCTTTGCCCTAGAGTGCATTGAAAGCCAAGGTATTGTCATGGCAACGCCTGGAAGCGTCACACAGGGAAGAGCATCACAGTGGAGGGAGGGGCACCACACACAGGGAGGCGTGGCCGGGATGCCGGAGGACATTTTGTACCACAGTTCCCTATGCCAGTCTCTGATACAACACAAAACACACTTGTTTTCCTTCTCTTTCCCTCCACCCCACAGCACAGTGTACACACATATGCACCTACATTTTAAAAGGAGCTGGTTGGATGACCGAGGGGAGAAACACCCAGATCACACAGAGGAAGTGAAATGTAAAAGAAACTCCTCTCCTGGAGAGAGAGACTGACAGAGAAACGGAGAGACATTTCCCAGGGAACTCTGGTCAGATTTAGGGTAGATTCTGTTCCTTTACCCACTACACTCAGCCCCTAGTTTATCATGCAGTAAGCTCATGCCTCTGCAGCAGAGGGAATGGTTTGTTGCTTTGGGTTTGATCTAGAAGTTTGAAAGTTATGTGGATAGAAGGAATCTCATCCATATTTATATATTGCACTTCATTAGTCATCAAGTTTTATCTGGGACTGCATACTGTTCTAAAAACTCCTTAGGCTGGGGCGTCTGCCTTTGGCTCAGGTCATGATCCTGGGGTCCTGGGATAGAGCCCTGCATTGGGCTCCCTGCTCAGCGGGAAGCCTGCTTCTTCCTCTCCCGCTCCCCCTGCTTGTGTTCCCTCTCTCGCTGTCTCTCTCTCTCTCTGTCAAATAAATAAAATCTTTAAAAAATAAATTAAAAAAATAAAAACTCCTTAGGTCTTTAAGACTTTGAGACTCAGGGCACCTGGCTGGCCCAGTCTGTAGAGCATGTGACTCTCAATCTCAGAGTTGTGAGTTCAAGCCTCACTTTGGGGGTAGAGTTTACTTAAAAAAGAATTAATAAAACCATTGTCAGTTTTTGTCAGTCGGTTAAGTGTCCGACTCTTGATTTCGGCTCGGGTCATGATCTCAGGGTCGTGAGATCAAGCCCCGTGTTGGGCTCCTCACTGGGTGTGGAACCTGTTTAAGATTCTCTCTCTCCCTCTCCCCCTCCTCTCTCTCCCTCTAAAAAAAAAAATTCCATCCTTATTCTGGCTCTTCTTAAGAATGTCCCTTTGTGGCAGTTGGGGGGGCGGGGGGGGGATGCTGGCTCTCCCAGTCTCGAGCATGCAACTCTTGATCTTGGGGATATGGGTTCGAGCCCAACATTGGGTGTAGAGATTACTTAAAAATAAAAATAATCTTTAAAAAAATTTCCCTTTGCAAAACTCAATTGTTTGTCAACGGGCTGACGCAGTGGTAGTGGACTGTAAAGCCCATTGTTTCTTGAGGGCCAACTTGCAGATCTATTTAGAGAATGTGTACTTTCAGGAAAAAAAAAAAAAAAAACAGGCCTGAGAGTACAAGGGAACCTTGTGTGCACACTCCTCAGGCCACGTGGGTCTAGCAGAATGCACACTTGGCCAGCCAAGAGGCCAGGCAAGTTTCACCAATGGGTTCTCATCCATGTGTGCGGCTGGGGTGAAGGACTCAGCAACACAGAGCAAAACTCAGGGTCAGAGTCGCCCAACAGCCAGCCCCTCGAGGCTCGAGGAGTGTTTTCAGAGAAGACTCTCGGGGTGGATGAGGTGGAGAAGAGAAAGTGCAGGTTAGGGGCGCCTGAGTGGCTCAGTCGTTAAGCGTCTACCTTTGGCTCAGGTCATGATCCCAGAGTCCTGGGATCGAGCCCCGCATCGGGCTCCCTGCTCGGCGGCAAACCTGCTTCTCCCTCTCCCACTCCCCCTGCTTGTGTTCCCTCTCTCGCTGTGTCTCTCTCTGTCAAATAAATAAATAAAATCTTTAAAAAAAAAGAAAGTGCAGGTTATTTCTGAGGCCAATGGGTACACAGACCATCATTTTCTGCTCTCATGAAAGACACACACCCTTGATTTTGCTTTTCTGTAGTTTCTAGATATTACTGTCGAGACAGCCACAAAAGGTGAGAGCTAGAGACGACCGGCAAGGCCACGAAGTTTAGTCCTTCACTTCGACTCCAGCCCCCATAGCTGGAACCCTAGCTAAGGCGCTGTTCCCTGCGCACACGTGAAAGGCTGTCTAGATAATCTTTTGGAAGAAAAAAAAGTGAGAATTGCTGATCTGGTGCTGGGAACCATTATGTAATCCAGCTGGAATTTGCCCCATATCCTCCCAATGAAACAGAAAAGGGACATGGGAGGGAAACAGATTGAGATACGGCTACGTTGGCGAAGGCGTGCTTAAAAGGATGTTGAGCCACCATGATTTTTGTGACGGGTCCAATGGGCTGGCCCCTGTCTGCTGTGCTGGACTCAATTCTCACTACTTCCTCCCGGGAACTCTTCTCTGCAACAGCAGAACCAGGCAAACACCTTGATTCTTGGGCGCCTCTTCACTCTTCCCCCACCTCGCAGAGGTACGATTCAGATTCAGGATAATCCGATGCCAGAGTTCTCGAGCTTTCCAGAGGTAGGAGGAGCCAGAGCAAGAGAGAGCCCCTAAAAACAGTGCCTGGCAGCCTATGCCAAGTGCAAAAAGAGTAGCAACATCGGATCGCTCTTTGAGTCTGGGAGTGGGCATGGGAATGCGGGAGATGGCCAAGCACCCGCGAAGCCTGAGAGGCTTCCCGGAAGAAGTCGCTCTTACAACCAAGGCTGTATAAATGGTTGCTATTTATTGGATGGTAAATTCTTACATGTGGTACCCTCAGAACTCTGCACGGTGTTCCGTAGAGGGTTTATGCTGTTATTGATGATATTTATTATCATGCCCGGGGGGGGATTAATTCAACGGAAACACACCCAGGAGGAACTAACTAGTTCTTTCTCTGGGAGGAGGAGGGTATGTGCCAAATCCTGGTTCCTTCTGGATGTGTGTACACTGGGATACTGCAGCTGAGCCTGACTTCAGAAGGAAGGTGTGAGAAATACAGCACTGATTTCAATTTTAGTTTTGTAGAAATATTTGGGAAGCCTGCTTGGTGGTGTTTTCATGATTAAAAATGACCCAGTGCGTGAGCTTGACAGGAACACGGTCCACAGCAGGCCTGACATATGCTTTTTCCCATCTCCATATGTTTCATTTATATCTTAATCCACAGCCTGCTGGGGAATAGCTGGGTAAGATAGCACTTCGGGGACCACTGTCAGTTGGTCTCATGCTATTTTCCTAGCCTATGGTATTCACACATCCTCCACTATGAGCTGGAATTTGGCCCTGGGCCTGTGGAATTGCCATAGGGCTGACTGCAGGGGAAAGAATATTCAAAATGTGAAATGAATTTGTTCAAATGTGAGTCAGGGATGTGTTCAGTCTGTTTATGGAAGGAGGAAATGACATTTGAAGAAAATTGGTTCTGGGAGAAATGGTGTCATTATATAAGCTTTCAAAATTTAGTAACTGACTGGCTAGGAGAGTAACAGATTGGCTAATTTGTGAAGTACCCAAACATGCCCTTTACCCCTTACGGTGTGGTGGCCTGGGTCCCAGTCCTGCCACTTAAAGACTATTTGACCCTGAGTCTAAGTTTCTGCATCTGTAAAATGAGGATAATAACAGTTGCTTAAAAGGTTTTGTTGACAGGGCGCCTGGGTGGCTCAGTCGGGTAAATGTCTGCCTTCGGCTCAGGTCATGACCCTGGGGTCCTAGGATCGAGCCCGCGATGGGCTCCCTGCTCAGCGGGGAGTCTGTTTCTCCCTCTCCCTCTGACCGTCGCCCCCCACTTGTGCTCTCTCAAATAAATAAAAAAAAATCTTTAAAAAAAACTGTTTTGTTGATAGAAAGGATCAGGTACAGTTCTCAGTATGAGCTCAATATAAAATAGTAGTAGCAACAACAGCTAACATTTTGGAGGCACGTATCACGTGCCAGGCCTGAGTTACGTGCTTTTTTCACGTTGTCTCACTTATTCTTGACAATTAGGTTACGAGACCAATAGAATTGCCCCCTAAAATGCCTAATACCATTAATAATGACAAAACAGCACACAACTCAGATTGGAATAGGTAATTCCACACTCTCTAATCCTGCCTATTCGCCCCCACACCTTCCGCTACCGAGTTTTCACTTGCGGCTGGAGGGCTGGAGATGTTTCACAAGGCAATAGGATAGTAAAGACAGGAGACCAAGAGAACAAGCATTTTGGAGCTCAAATGCTGGAAGAGGGGTTTGCAGTCAGAGACAAGAGGTGGTCAGGTTTTCACAAAAAGAATAATAACTGTGTGCAACTAACAAAGGGGCTTGTTTGGGGGGAAACAAACATGGGAATCATTCACACACTTGAAATCTTATAATAAACCAGAAGAGTCCCTACCCTTTGTGTCATTGCTCCTCACCCTCCTTCCTTCTCTGCTCTCCTTTGCTGTAGGGGAGGGGAGGCCTTTTTCAGAAGGGAACAGGGTCGGGTCTATTCCCTTGAGGTGGCTTGCAGTCACAGACCCCGTCCCCCACCTGCAGGTACATCTCCTCGTGGGGAAGGCACAAGGAAAGAGCAGATAGAGCCCAAACATGTAGTTTTCAGCCACTAGGATGCTGGCACTCCCTTCATGTCTTCCCAATGGACACGGTCTTATTAGATCTTGCAAGAGCAGTTCTCTTAAGAGAAAGGCAAAGAGGGAAGCACATGGGCCTTGAAGAACCTCAGGTCTGTTGGGGTTAAGCCAGGTCACATGACTAAACACACCCCTCCTCCCATCCCAGAAGGACAGCTTGCACTTGCAGGACACATGGTGTCTCTTTCATGACAAGATTATTTTAATACTAACTGAAACCAAAGCAGGTTCAAATTTCCCTTTGGCCTTGGGGATGTCACAGCACAGAATTTCAACATTTTTCACTTACACTATCGGTGCATAGTTCCAATTTTTTTCTGAGTACATTTCCCCCCCCCCCCCAAATCTCTGCCAATTCTCTGGGTGTGGGAGAAAGGAAGCGCTTTCAGTCTGGTCTCCGAAAGTCATGGAAATGTGAATGACAGTAATACGATATTTGGAATTGTGTATTGTTTTAAAATAGGAAAGTCAGTTACATTTTTCTCCGGTGGCATTTTGTGCCATACTTTTCAAAACAACAAGTTAAGGAACACTTTGGGGAGAGCATTCTGAGCTGAGATTCCTCAGAAGCACCAGAGAGAGAAAAACTTAAATGATGGCTTATTTTATAGCTCAAAGGCACTCGATTTTGAGAGCTTGAGATTTAAATCTTAGTCAGCTTCCTCTTTTTTACAAAGGAAACAATTTAGAGGGAGCGACTTGTCCAAGGTCACACGGCTAGTAAATGGCAGAGTCATATGTTTTAAAGCCCCATTTTCAAAATTGTGTTATACACAATCCAGTCCCAGCAGGGGGCCTTTTTGTGTGTGGAAATTGACAAGATGATTAGTTGCCATGAATATTAAATGAGATAATGTCTGTAAAGCGGCGAGCATAGTAGCTGCACAAAACTGAATGAGCGTGTTCTAGGCACTACACATTTTCCTTCCTTTATATTCACGTCCACATATATTTTAGGTTTCCATGGTTGTAATGTTTGTGTCTCTACCACATTGTGATCTCCTTTTTACACTTAACACAGCCCGCATACTTACGATTTTGATGTCTGAAGAACGTCCATCTGGTCGGTAGACTCCACTTTTTTTAGACACTTTACCATTATTGAACATTTGGGTTGTTTTCAGTTTTTCACCATTATAAATAGTGGGACTTGGAACAATCTTACATAGCTTACCGCCCTCCCACCCCTGTACCCCTTTTGGGGTTGTTTCCTTGGAATATGTTCTCAAAAATGGAATGAGACAGAGAAAGCTCTCAAACCAGACTGCTCTCCAGAGAAATACCATCAGTTTACTGTGTTTGTGTGTCACCAGTGACGGGAGGCTATATTATTGCAAAAAAAAAAAAGTGGTTTAACTGCTCTGTCTAGGCATAGAAAAGGAACTTGGGGATTCTTGCCTGAAACTTCCCTTCCCACCCCCCCACCCCACCCCTGTACCCTTGGCAGTGATCATGCTTTCCTGGCCTTTTTCTGACTTCCTCCTCCTGTTCAGGGTCTTGGAGCAAAAGTGACGGTGCTAATACAGAACAGGATGAACAGTTTCTGTACTAAAATCTAACAAAAGCCTCACATGGAGTGTGACTATCCCAAGGGCTTCACCAAATCAAATGCTGGAGATTTACTTGTGAATTTCCATCACAAACAAAATGGCGATTTGGGTTTTGAAGAAAAGCCTGCCATTTCAGAAAGAAAAATCTAACTGTGGCTCTATGGATCTGTGGGCTTGAATTCAAACATTCGGCCCACTGGGCTTGGGGGGGTGCCTGTTCTGACTTCTGTCACTTACAAATTGTCACTGATTTAATAACAATAAGTTACATTTTTGAGTGTCAAGGCCCTTTGCCTCCATGCAGCATCTCATTTAATCCTTGGAGTGAACACTACTATCATCCCCATTTTATGGATGAGGAAATATGAGCTTAGAAAGATGATTTAACTTGCCCAGAGTCACATAGCTAGAAACTGCCTGAGCTGTGATATGAACTCAGGTCTGTTTGACTCGAAGGCCTTCGTGCTTCCTCTAATCAGGGACCCACTTGACAGAAATTGTTCTTAGGATAGAAACCACCAAGTCTCTCCAGAAAGCCTAGGGCCCCGCTAAGTGATGTGGCCTGGTGTAGAGTCCTACAGAGTCCCCTCAGCTAACTTAAATCCAAGTGATAATAATGGCTGACATTGACAAAATGCCTACCCATCTATACGAAGATGGAAGATGAAACTCACCTGAATTGATGTTCTTGTTCTTGATGTCCTTTTGCATGTTTCGGAAAGAGTTCAATGAACTAGACAGGACGTGGTACTCAGAGACTCATTTTCTGAGCAAGCTGGGCTCTCTACCGCAGGTCTTATTGTTGCGGGCGAGTGATGATGTTAAGGGATAATAATGGGAGGCGCCTCCGTCTCTCACTTGTTTTCCTAAGGAAGAGACCTGGAGTTAGACACAGTTCACCTTCATACTGAATCAGAGACTGCTGGGAAACTGTTAAGCTTTGAAAGAGGCCTTGAATATCCTCTCCTCATTCCCGATTTCCCGAGGATGGCTTTACTGCTTTTGTTAAAAAATGCATGTGTACGTAGTATGTTGTATCAGACTCTGTCACGTGCCTCTCTGTCCCTTACTCCCATGGTCTCTAACTCTTTTTTTTTTTTTAATTTCCTGAAGTCATCTCTACCCCCAGTGTGTGGCTTCAAAACTCAGGACCCCGAGATCGAGAGTCGCATGCTTCCCTGACTGAGCCAGACAGGTGCCCCTGGTCCCCTGGTCTCTAATTCTTGTAAAATCCTAGGAAGTGGATACTATCATTATGGCCTTACTACAGATGAGGAACTCCAGGCCCAGAGAGGTTAACTAATCTGCCTCAAGGC